AAAAACCCAAAAATCCAACAATTAAACATGATACACATTAAAAATGGACAACGTAATAAATCATTTAAAGAATATCAAAAAATGTGAAAAATAAATAGTATAAAAGGAAATAACCAAATCCTTAACAGAATGAATGCTTGAAACCAAAATAGGCATCAGAACAAAAAGTCAAAGTAGCTATACCTGGATGCATTAAATCATTCTGCCACAGAGATACACTAAAAACGGAGAAGACTTTGACTATGCGCATAAACTTTGCGCGCGGTATACAAACGAACATGGAACAATACATTTATTAATCTGTCTTAATGTTAGTTAATAAAAAGAAAGAATCAGTGTTTGTTCATGTTTTTGTTGCTGTTACGTGACGTGGCGGTGTCTGACTAGGGGTGTCTGATATAGGCCTATTGGGAATTACAAACACGTGTTGTGTGTTCAAAAGTTTTTGGTAATCTGTTCATTCATAAATAAATATATAAAAGGTACAGATCTAACTTTCTAGACCTAGCACACTGTAAAAGGGGATGGCCTGCAGTTACCTTAAAAATCTATTTCAACCTGATTGAACTCATAACATTTAGTTTTGATGGTATAAATTAATTAATTTTGGTTGATTTTAGCGATTAGGCTATATTTTTGACTTGAACAAAACCAAAACTTAGATGTTACCATTTAAGGTGAACATTTCTTCCCTAGTGTACCTAAGTATTTAACTTCTAGATAGATAGATAGACAGATAGATAGACAGACTTATCTGAAAAATAAACTTGGATTTTATGGTTGGGAACGCACTCAGTAAACGGCTGTTACGTTTTGTCACGTAAACGTTGCATCATCAGTGCGCTATCATTTCGCTGAAGCGTAACACCGATCACGTGACCCAGCACGCCCCTGCGCGATCACCAATACACCCCATTCCCTTATACAACACATACAGTGATTGGCGTAGAAAGGTTTTGTTGCTACAGCCCTCCTGTTTAATGTAAAACGTTTACAGTAACAGAGAGAGCTATTCACTCTTCTGTGATCTCAGGGACCCGGTGTCTCGTCGTCAGTCATATCCGGAGCACGCATGGCTTCACAAAAGCAGAACGACAGCTCAGCCGCCGGCTACCAGCCGCTCTTCAAATCATTCGCTACAGATGCGATCCACGTTGGTTCAGAGCCGGAGCAGTGGAACTCTAGGGCCGTAGTGCCTCCTATTTCGCTGTCTACTACCTTTAAACAACACGGACCGGGGAAACATGCGGTAAGTCATTGAGGTATTTTGTAAGCGTTTGACATCGAGAATATATTAATTGTTGTTTCGTATTAACCTGATATTTGAGTATGTAGATTGTGATATGTGTACTGATCGAGTGACAATAGAGCTCGCGATTGTTTCTTTGATCAGCAATTCTCACTCGCACTTTCCATTTAAATGGATTTGACGTGAAATGAACAATTACAGAACTTTGTGTGAAAGGGAAGTTTTTTTATTATTATACATTTATTTATAAATACCAACTAATATACCAAGCGTAACTACATTAAAGACTTGTAGGTTTTGAGTTAAGACTGTAAGTAGGTGCATGTCACAGTGACTGACTAAGCACAAAGCATCTCATATCCTGCTGAAAAACCAACCTAAACTGGCATACTGGTTTTAAACGGTCTACCAGGCTAGTGTTCTGGCTGGCTTTAGAGGGACATTGGGCACTTGGCCTATCCAAACTGAAAGACCCGCAAACTATTTAGGCTGGCTTAAGTGTCTTTATGTAGAACCTATCGACTTTGTTGGAAGATCCCAACCACAAGCCAGGCCTGTTTATTTAATTCAGTGATTTAACAAAATATACTTGACATTTAAACAACACCACAGGTTGAGGTCAAGTACTTAATTATTATGCTCAATTGCCTTCTGAAAGAAGTTGAATTAGCTGGTTTTGGTTGTTTCAAGCTGGTCTTAGCTTATCAAACTCCTCTGGAACCAGTCAAAAACAATAATGCATAGGATACCTTTTGACAAAAGAGTGGTTACTGATTTCATCAACAAAGAAGCTGCAAGTTGACTGAGTATTAACAACATAAGTCATGAGAACAGCCAGGTGGTTGAAGTAAATGCATATGTTCGCATGTTAACTATGTCTGTTTGTAAAGGAGTTACGCCACAAACAGTATGTTTTTAATTCAAGAGTTTTCTGTGGATTTGACATTTTATTTGCACAATTCAAAACACTAGTTTATGTGAAGCATTTTGAATTTCACTTTTTTCTAATATTTTATCTGCCAGGGTTTTGACTACAGCAGGAGTGGAAATCCCACAAGAAGCTGTCTTGAGAGAGCAGTTGCTGCTTTGGATGGTGCACAATACTGTGAGTCCATCACCAACACTTTTATATGATATGTTATATGACATTGATATAACCTAAAGCTCTGTCTGACTTTGCTAATAGGTCTCGCTCTTGCCTCTGGATTGGCTGCAACTTTGACCATCACACATCTTTTTAAGGCTGGAGATGGAATTTTGTGCATGAATGATGTTTATGGAGGTGAGTTACTGCTCCTAATAATAAATAAAATGATAGTTGGGCTTAAGAAAAAGGCAGTGAAAAGCTGATATTCTTACTGAGACTGTCATGTTCTTTCCACCAGGAACTAACCGGTATTTCAGAAAAGTAGCTGCGGAAGTTGGCTTTGATGTCTCTTTTGCTGACCTCACAAAGCTAGAGTTGCTAAAAGCAGCTCTAAAACCAAATACAAAGGTACACCTGGCTGACGGTATTAGAAAATTACTGTGGGAAAGAGGGTTGAATGAGTAATTATTTTCTCACATGAATAATTAGCTTTGAGAAGTACCACTCTTAACTGAAATGGCATATTAATGGATAAAAGCGTCTGCTAAATGACTAAATAAAATAAAATAAAATATTAAATGTTCTGATTTCTACAGATGGTGTGGATTGAAACACCCACAAACCCTACAATGAAGGTTGTGGACATCAAGGGCTGTTCAGATATTGTCCATGAGCACAACAAGGACATAATTGTTGTTGTGGACAACACTTTCATGTCATCCTATTTTCAGGTATGAACATTTACATTATTTTAATACATAACCCAGTGCTGCTGGTTTTTTGATGTATGAATAATACATTCTGAGAACTCAGTGACATTACCTTGTCCAGAGAGCAACGACTTAATGTTTCACGCTATGCTACTAATTAAAAAGTGAGTTAATAAAGTTAAAAATGCATTGTGTACAGTTGACTTGTATCATAAGATTCCAGTGCAGGGATAGAGTTTCCTTATACAGAAACTAGATGATGCAATTATTTCACTATTTTTCTCATTCCTGGAACAGCGCCCCCTTGCACTTGGAGCAGACATCTGCATGTACTCTGCAACAAAGTACATAAATGGTAAATTTAAAAAAATAAATAATTACTTCAGCCTGTTGTATAACTGAAAGTTTGTTGATCGAAATTTAAATTATCCATGTAATTCCAGGACACAGTGATGTTGTGATGGGCCTGATTTCTCTCAACCGTGATGACATCTATGAACGACTGAAGTTTTTGCAGAATGGTAAGGCTCTACTAATTTAAACCGAAACCTTTAAGATGTGAAAAAGTGTGAAAATCTGTTGACATCCTAATTTTCTGCGAACAGCTCTTCTCTTTATGGCATGACTTTGTGACTCAAGATCAAAAGGGCTGTACGATTATATAAGATGTATTTTACAAGCAGTATATAGCATGTGATTTTTTTTTTTTGCCCTTTGAAATAAAGCCAAATTATTGGACAGTACTAACAATAGAGAACAGCCTATATATATGTGTGTTTGTGTATATATGTAGGATATATATATATATATATATATATATAGATAGATAGAACATACATATACATACATTATATATATATATATATATATACATACACACACACACATGCACAGATGCTTCTTTATATATTTAATTATTGTCAGGTTTTAATGCTGATGTGAACTATAATCTTAATAAACCATAATGGACATAAAAAACATCCATTTATGATGTGCTAAACCTGATTGGTGCTGTACAATAAGCTTTGATTTATTTTCTTTTTTTTTTTAATCAGATAATCTCAAGGCCAAAGAATCATAGCCAACTGAGCTTATCACTGAAGAGTGTTAAAGGTTCAGCTCAGTGTTATAATGTACATAAATATGCTGAAGATGTGTGACATGCCCAAGAGAGGCACCAGGTGCAATGTTCAGATATAACTCTGTGAAGAAGAAATTCTAGCAAGAATTAAGTTATTTTCTCTACACTATTGGGGGTCTTTTGTAAGGGACAAGAAAAATGTACTTCATTCACTTGAAAAGAAAATGACTTGTCTTCAAGTGAAAGTAATATCCTATATTAATATCTGCTGGCAGTATTTCCCTTTTGTTATTACATGTAGTCTCGTTGAAAAAGACAATTTCCTTTATTCCCTCTTGACTTTGAAGTACATGGCTCAGAAATAGTTTCAGGAAAACTTTTTTCATTGCATATTATTGCTATATCCTTTATTTTAATGTGATTTTTAAATGGTCTAATCACCGTACGTATAAT